AGGTCCTAAGTCTTAGGATCTAATCCGAAAGGTTTACTCACATACACAAATAATGATCTTGAGGCCAAACGAGCAAACTGCCAGGGAGGGTGAAATAAACTCAGGTTTACACAGAAGAGGAAAAACACTTTGGGAGTTCAGGGCATGCCGCATGAAGGGCTGTCATCAGAGTTGGTCTTGAAGGATGGCCAGAGGTTAAACAGGATGAACTGAAAGTGAAAGTGAAGTCGCTCAGTCGTGTCCGACTCTGCGACCCCATGGACTGTAGCCTACCAGGCTCCTCCGTCTATGGGATTTTCCAGACAAGAATACTGGGGTGGGTTGCCATTTCCTTCTCCAGGAGATCTTCCCCACCCAGGGATCAAACCCAGGTCTCCTGCATTGTAGACAGACGCTTTACCGTCTGAGCCAGCAGGGAAGTCTCTTAAATGGGATGAGCAAGGGCATTCCAGGAGTTGTGCCAGCAAAAGCAAAGTGACTAAACAACAACACAACATCACCAGAGCCTAGCCTGCAATGAGCCCCAACTGGAAGGCAGACTGATGAGAAGAAGGGGGCTGGGAGCTCCCGCTGCTCCACATGGCTCGGATCCTCAGAGTCAGGCAGATAATGGCCCTGCACCTGCTCTTGCGGGGCAGAGAAGCACGCCATGTTCACAGAGCTGCAGGCTGGCAAGGCTTTAGCACCTTCAGAGTCTGGGCTCCTGCAGGTGTATGACCTGGGAAGGATGCCTGGATCCCGCTGTGAACATCCCTCCTGCTGCACGGGGCCTGATCACCGGCAGGCAGGAACGCCTAGCAGCCAAGTGAGCAGAGGCTCACAGCAAAGACTTTCATGATGGAGTCACCTCCGTGGTTTTCAGAGAGTGGTCACCTGGGGTTAAGGACACGCCACCAGGGCAGCAGGTACTTGGCTCTCGTGGCAGAAAGATGGGTGTCTTCTCCCTTCTGACTAGAGGAGATGTGAGGGACAGTACTCTGCCTCCCCTTTAGTCTCAGAATCACGGGACATTAAAACCAGAAGGGCTCTTGGTCCAACAAACCCATTTTACAGATGAGGATACTGAGGCCAAGGGAGACAAGGTGGCTTAGCTAAAGCCCATCAGACCAGGAGCAAGGTTCGGGCCTGAACTCAGTCCGGGGCCACAGACAATCTGAAGCCAAAAACACCATATACAAAAGGACAACAGGAAAAGCATCTCTGGGAAGAGGAGGACTGACGAGTGTCAGACGCTGGGGACTCTAAATTCAGCACTGAGGAAGCAACCGGAAATGGAACTCGGATGCAGGTGTATAAACGCTGGAGAAACAGGCAAAGTCCCTTAAGAGAAAGCAGTAAAAAGAATGGACAGAGAGAAGGGGACACTCTGAGGGGCAGGGGAGAAAACTCAAGGCATTCGGGCTAGATGACCTCGGTCTTCTCAGCCGGAGGTGAGGCCACCCGTGAGAACAGTCTCCATGGAGACTGGGCTAGAGGTCTGTGATGCAGACTCAGAAGGGGAGCCCTGGGGCACTTCAGGGCCCACTGGGGGTTCATGAGGCTCCAGGAACAGCTCGGGGCTTGGATTTCACTGAACCTGTGATCTGTGCTTGGACCAGAAGGCACAGCCCATGGCTCTCCAGCAATGCCTGGCAGTCCTGGAGAAGCAGCAGAGGAAGCAGATGGGCTTGCATGCGTGTTGAAGGGGGGTCAGGGGACAGTCACGGGGGCAGGAGAATCAAAGGGCAGATGGGGGCACAAAGGACATGCCTGAGGCTTGACCAGGTGGGGAGGAAGACCAGGGCAAGAAGGGGGTGTTGAGGGCCAAGGCCACATGCGGAGAAACTGGAAGGAGGGTAAGAAACAAGAGAATCCTGGATCTTATCCTGGTCACAGGATTAGAAACAACAGAATCCTGGATCTTGGAGTGAATGGACAGTGACAGGACCCAAGGTGCATTTGGGTGAGGTTTGCTCAAACGAAACTTCAGAGAGAGGAAACCGGGTCTGGAATATTTAAAGCTATCAACAACTTGAGTTCTGAGTTTGCCTGCGGAGGAGGAAAATGGGCACTTGAGGCCTTGAAGGATGGGAAGAGGATGCTGAGGTCAGAGGGTGCAGCACTGAGTGGTCCAACCTAAGGAAGCAGAAGTACACAGTGGAGGGACAAGGGGTGGTGGGTCTGCCCTTCCCTGAGCCTCGGGGACCAAAGGGAGCGTCTCCAGCTCACGGAAAGGAATCAGGACCACGAACTCAAGGAGGCAGCAGGATGCTCATGGCAACAGTCAAGGGGGTAAGGGAGTGGGCTGCAGGCAGACAGGAGGTCCTGGAGGTGGGGAGGAAGTTGGTGGTGTAGAGGGGGCATCCAGTGGGTGCAGGGGGACACATCTGCCCAGCAGGCACTGTAACCCAGGCACACTTAAGCCCTGGCTGCACTCCATCACCGCAGACTGAGCACCACAACATCCATCTCAGGTAGACCCAATTTCCAGGCATCGACTCTGAGTACCTCCTTACAATCATCATGCATAGCCCCAGGAAGTATTTAAAAAGTGTCTTTCAGGTAGAAAGGCTTAGCTACACAGGAGGAGCTCCAGGTTTCAGGTCAAATATCTCCTAGCAAAGAACTCACCCTTTCATACTCTGTCTAAAATAGCACTGCCCCTTCCTCTATCTCCTCACTCTGCTTTATTTCTCTTAACCCTTACTACCACCTGTCATATTATGCAGGTATTACATACATACACTGCATTATCCACTGCTTAGAACAGGGCCTAGTGCACAACAAACATTCAATAAATACTTTTAGACTGCTGAATAAATTCTCTTTGAAACCCAAAGCCAGATTCTACTGGGAATGGAAACTCTGAAGTCTTTCTTGCTTTTTAAAAGAATAAAGCTGACAGTATGACAGTCCTTGATTTCAAACTATACTACCAAGGTACAGTAATCAAAACAGTCTAGTACAGACACATAGCTCAATGGAACAGAGAGCCCAGAAATGAACTCACATTTATATGATCAATTAATCAACAACAAAGGAGGCAAGAATATAAAATGTAGCAAAGACAGCCTCTTCAATAAATGGTGTTGGGAGATCTGTACAGCTATAGGTAGAAGAATCAAACAACTTCTATCTCATACTACATACAAAAATAAATTCAAAATGGATTAAAGACTTAAATATCAGACCTGAAATCATAAAACTTCCAGAAGAAAACATAGGTAGTATGCTCTTTGACAATAATCTTAGTAGTATTTTTTTAATATGTCTCCTTAGGCAAGGGAAACAAAAGAAAAAATAAATAAATGCAACTATACCAAACTAAAAAGCTTTTACACCATAAAGATAACTATCAGCAAAATAAAAACACCACCTACTAAATGGGAGAAGATCTTTGCAAGCGACATATCTGATAAGGGATTAATGTCCAAAATACAAGAAGATCTCCTACAACTCAACATCAAAAATATCCACACGATCCTATTTAGAAATGGGCAGAAAATCTGAATAGACATTTTTCCAAAGAAGACACACAGATCGCCAACAGAAAACACGAAAAGATGATCAACATCACTATCAGGAAAATGCAAATCTAAACCACAATGAGGGACCCATCACCTCACACCTGTCAGAATGGCTATTATCAAAAACACAACAAGAACAAGTATTGGCAAGGATGTGGAGAACAGGGACCCCTCGTTCACTGTTCATTGGTGGGAATGTAAACTGATGCAGCCACTATGGAAAAGAGTATGGAGAATCCTCAAAAAATTAAAAACAGAACTACTGTATGATCCAGCACTTCCACTCCTGTATATTTATCCAGAGAAAACAAAAACACTCATGAGAAAAGATATATGTGCTCTTACGCTCACTGCACTATTATTTATAATAGCTAAGATATGCAAGCAACCCAAGTGCCCATCAATAGATGAATGAATCAAGAAGATGTGGTATCTAAACATACACGTCAGAATACTACTCAGCCATAAAAAATAATGACATCTTGCCATTTGTGACAACATGAATGGATCTAGAGGGTATTATGCTAAGTGAAATCAATCAGACAGTGAAAGACAAATATGGTATGAAATCACTTATGTGTGGAGTCTAAGAAACAAGTGAACAAACATTACAAAATAGAAACAGAATTATAGATACAGAGGACAAACAGGTGGTTGCCAGGAGGGAAGGAAGGAGAAAAAAATAGGTGAAGGTGATTAAGAAGTACAAACATCCAGTAGTTGCAAAATAAATGAGTCACAAGTCTGAAATGTACAGCAAGCAGAATATAGTCAGTAACTATATAATATTTTTGTGTGGCAACAGGTTGTAAATAGGCTTATTGTGGTGATCATTTACAAATGTACAGAAATATCAAATTACCATCTTGTGTAACAGGAACTAACATAGGATTGTAGGTCAATTATAAAATAGATAGAGAAATGAAAATAAATAAAAGAGTGGTTCTGAGCTGTGTTGAGTTCACTTACTCAGGCACCTCCACTGTGGACAGTTCTGTCTCAGGCAAAGTGAGGGAAGTCTTTGCTGACCAAACACAACCTCCTGGAGCCTGCAAGATGGCTCTCGAGAGATGCCAAGACCTGCTCGGCCACCCAGCCCCAGAGTCCACTAAGCCTGGCTGCGATTCAGCTGTGCTCCCAGCACCTGCTCTCTACACCTGGCAAGAGTCCATGAGAAGAGGGTGGCATAGCCTCTTCTGCTAGTTAAAAATATACACAGCATCCCCAGAAGAATTCTTATAATGAGATTTCTTTCTACCTACTCTAGAGATGTGCCTACACTGCATCCTCGTGCTTGGAAATGTCTCCCTAGCACATCCCCACGTGCAACAAGATACTGGACACCTCCGGGGTGGGGTCAGCCAGCACCTCCATCCCAAGGCTCTTCACCGCAACAGTAATGCAGTTTTACTCCTGTCTTTCTCTACCAATTTCTAGTAATCGCAGACCTGTGATTACCGAGTCCATCATGTAAAGGATCAAAGGAATACTTACCGGAACCTGGGCAGAGTCGAGGAACTGGAGGCCAAAGTAATCTGTTTCCACCAGGTCTAAGTGATACACAATCTGATCAAACAAATCCTGGCCTTTGGCATGTTTCTGGAAGATAAAGGGTAGATGAAATATTAGGAGGTGACAGTAGATAAGAAACAAGATTAAAAAAAAACAAAACCCCAAACAACAAAATCACTTTCCTCTCTTTACCATACACATATGTGTCAGAGTACATAAATTTGTTTAAATGCAATTATTTTTTATTATAATACAAACTCTTGATTAAATCTAAAGCATAAATGATGACAAGAAAATTCCACCAAACTACTACTTTATAGGATGATTAGGGAACCAACACCTTATTATGATAAATGGTTAGTAAATAGAAAAAAAAAAGTCAAGCATTGATCCTGCCTTTAGCTGGAGCACCAGGAAACCAAAGAGTTGCTGTTGTTTAGTCGCTAAGACACGTCCCACTCTTTTGCAACCCCGTGGACTGCAGCCTGCCAGGCTCCCTTCTCCATGGGATTTCCCAATCAAGAATACTGGAATGGGTTGTCATTTACTTCTCCAGGGGTTCTTCCCAACCCAGGAATCAAACCCTCATCTCCTGCATTGCAGGCAGATTCCTTTCCACTGAGCCACCAGGAAAGACAAACCAAAGAGTAGATGACAGCATATACAAAAATTAACTGAAAATGAATCAAAGACCTAAATGTAAGAGTTAAAACTATAAAACTCAGAATAAAACACACATGCAAATCTTCATGACCTTGGATTAGGCAGAAGTTTCTTAGGTAAGACACCAGAGGCGCAAGCAACAAAAGAGAAAACAAACTGGGCATCATCAAAATGTAAACTTTATGCTTCAAAGAACATCAAGATATCAAGAAAGTAAAAAAGACAACCCAGAATGGAAGAAAATCTTACAAAGCATACTTCTGATAAGGGACTTCTCTAGAACACATAAAGAATTATTACAACTCAATAATAAAGAGCCAAATACTCAATTTAAACACAGGTCAAGGATATATAGAGATGAGGGTTTCCCGGGTGGCACAGTGGTAAAGAAGCTGCCTACAGTTTCTCCATCTCCAGAAGCTGGAGATGGGGGTTCAGCCCCTGGATTGGGACGATCCCCTGGAGAAGGAAATGGCAATCCACTCCAGTATTCTTGCCTGCAGAACCCCATGGACAGAGGAGTCTGGCGGGCTACAAGGGGGTCTCAAAGAATCAGACCTGACTGAGTGACACAGCACACACACAGATATAGAGATAGAGAGATAGTTCACCTAAGAGAGATGAATAGCCAACAGGATTATCAAAAGATGCTCAACATCATTAGTCATCAGGGAAGTGCAAATCACAACCACAATTAGACACTTCACACCCATTCGGAAGGCTATAATAAAAAAAGACAGATAACCAATGTTGGAAAAATTGGAACCCTCTTATATTGCTGATGGGAATGTCAAATTGTGTAGCTAATTCAGAAAAGAAGCCTGGCAACTTCTTTAACAGTTAAACACAGAGTTACCATTTGACCCAGCAATTCCACTTCTAGGTAAATATCCAAGGAAAAATGAAAACATTATGCTCGCACAGAAACTGGTACAAAAATGTTCACAGCAGCATTATTCATAATAGCCCCAAAGTGGCAGTAACCTGAATGTCTATCAATTAATGAATGGATAAACAAAATGTAGCATATCCATACAATGAAATATTATTTGGTCATAAAAAGGAATAAAGTTCTGATACATGCTACAACACTGATGGACTCTGGAAACATTATACTAAGTGAAAGAACCTGGTTATAACTTACAAGTGACCACATATTATTTGAGATGTCCAGAACATTAAGTCTAGAGACAGAAATTAGATTGATAATTAGTAACTGCTTAGGACTGCCAGGTGTATGGGGTGACAGCAAAGATAAACAGGATTTGGGGGGATTGGTTAATGAAGTGTTCTAAAATTGACCATGGTCATAGATGTGCAACTCTATGAATATACTAAAACCCACTAAATTCGTATGTTTCAGATAGGTGAATGTATGGTATGTATCTCTATAAATAAACTACTAAAAATAGCAGAGAGCCAGAGTTTTTCTTTAGTATTCCAGCAAATAAATGAAGAAAGAATAACAAAACTGTGATAGCACAATTTTGTTGCTTCTAATGAATGGCAGGCTCTAAGTATTGTATGCCAGTAGCTACTAACATTGCAACAGGAGACAGATAACCAGGTGAAAAACATCCTACCACCCAAGGTATAATCTTGCTCCCCCACACCTCTTTCCACAGGAAAAAACAAAAAAGAAATCTACCTGGGGAGTGGTTAAACCACTAGATCCAACTGTAGGAAATGCAGTTCTAAACTACAAAGAACCACAATTGGCAAGATCCAGCCTGTAGGAAATTCTAGAAACTCCTCTGGACGAATGACCCAGTTTCCTCAACAAACAGAATATAGGGGAGAGAAGAGATAGAGAGGACACGTACAGATTGAAAGAGATTTAAAAGATATTTGTAAACAGCCAAGCTTAACTTGCAGTATCCAAGGATGCACACTTGGGTGAGCAATCTTAGAAAGACAGTAAAGAAGTGATTACAATAAAGTCAGGGTAGGTGTTGCTCTTGGGGTGGGGCATGGGGCTGGGAGGAGGCAACAACCGTGGACTTCCGGCTGGCTGGCAGGGTTCCAGCTTTTGATGTGGGTGATGGTACTAGGGTGTCTGTCTACTTTCTAGTAGTTCATTAAACTGTACCTTTGTTTCCTTTGTACGTCTCTATTTGTGTTATATAAATAACAACAATAACAAAAAATTTTTAAAAAATAAAATAAAAATTTCATCAATGAATTAAAGTCTCCTTCCTTCCCGGAAATACTCCTCTGAAAGCAACAATTCAACATAAGATTCCAGGAGGCTCGACATGCAATGACATTCTCTGTAAATGAATCTAGTGGAGAAATAGGGCGGGATTGGGGGCGGGCAAAAAGGAGAAACAATCAAAATTCCAATTGCAGAACATAGTACTGGGGCCCACCAGCATGTAAGAATACTATTTGGCTGTTACAAAAGAGAATGATGAAGATGAGACAGAACTATGCAAAATTCTTATGACAAACGTTCAATAAACAGAGCACAAGGGAACAGAAAACTGTGATTCCAGCTACATAAATCTATGTATCTATTGCACATGGACTACTTGATAAAAACAGGAGAGTGGCAAAAATTACAACAGTTGCGATAGCATGGAGACACGATGGATGGTTTATTTCCCAAGTTTTCTTTAACACTGATCTTTTGGCAGTTGTTAGGCAACAAATACAAAGTAAAAAAAAAAAATCACAATTCTGGCACTCTTCCTCCTTGCCTATAACAATCCATTCTCTGCAGGTATTTTTTCCAATTACTATCCAGTGCTACTGGCCCCATGCAACACCTATTAGCACGGTGCCAAGGCTTCATTAGCGGGTTTCCTAGCGGGAAAGAACTAGTCAGAGTAAAGCTTTAGCAGCAGGATATGGCAGAAACAACTGGATTGCGAGGAAGCAAGAGACTTCTAGTCCCAGATGCACCACTAATTGCAACCTTAAAGCAATTCATAATCTCCCCCAATCCATATGGCCACCCTCAACTTCCCCCTCATGGCTGCTAATCAGGCCTGGCCATGGTCCCCTGAATATACAGGGCCACCAAAACTCAACTGACCCCAAATCCAACCTACTCCCCACCTGCGTCTTTGGGTTCAGGGTTTACCATCCAGGTACATAATTTTAACACTCCCAGGGTCTGAATTCAAAAAAACACAGTTCCACAAATGTAAAATGAGGGGGGTTAGCCAATGTCTTTGTCTAGGTCATTCCAAATTTTATTTTTCTGATGTCTTTCTAAAATGGCTCTTAATTTAGAAGGAGCTCAAGGTGGTGGCTGGGAAAATAACCTTTCTAGGGGTAGTGGGTCCCTCTGCCAATGTAAGATGGGCTCCTCCTACTGGTAGACCCTCACTCGGGCTGGACATGGAGGTGGCAGACAGCAGAGTCTGGAGGGTAGTATGTACCATTTTTACTCACCTATAAACACTTCCCCCACTCACCTCCCTAACAAGTACACTCTTTGGTCTCTTCTGCTGGAAGAGGGAATTCCCAGTGGCCCTTACTGAGTCTAAAAACAGTCTGATGAAATTATGAGGGCTGGAATGAATAGAAAGGTCCTTGAAACAGGGGTCCCAGGGGGCTGAACTTCAATCAGCCATCTCTCACTCCTCCCAGAGAGGATGGATGGACAAGATGGATGGATGGATGGGGGATGTGTAGGGCCTAGGGCCATGAAATGGATCTTCTGGAGGGGCCATGCTAAAGCACAAAAAACAGACTGATATTTCCCAAGCAGCAGACCTAAAAATGACAATACACTCATTAAAATCTTTTCAAATTAAGTTTCCCATGAACAAGTATCTAGGGAACTGTGCAGTACTTCCAAGGCCATTTACCTAAACACGATTTTGTGGCTACTACATGAAGTGCTATCAAGTGATTACACAAGGAGATCAGTTAATGTGACAAGACTAGAAGCTGATCCTGTTGCCTCATCGTTAACTAAGGCATCCTTTCTGTGATGAATTCATTCACTCGCTCATTCAACACATGTTTATCAACTGCTCATCAAATGCCAGTCACTCTTCCAGGCAATGGGGTACACCAGGGTCACATAGTCTGGAAGGAGCAGCTACAGGAAACTACAGAAGAACAAACTCTTCTTGGGGAACGAAGTCAGCCTAAAAAGCTTAAGACCCGAGCCCATGGGTCACAGTACCACTTTACCTCCCTGCCTTCCCAAGCTGAATATACTCAGTGTAAAATCTTTCAAAGTTCTGATCACCATCTTGAAATCCAACTACAAGACACGTATGGAGAGTTGCTCCCAAACACAGCAGGATCTAGAGAGCTCTTCCCTTGAGTTCTTCCATCCACATCACCTAGTTTTTCTGCCTCCCATCTCAACACATCACTTTTCACAAGGACCAGCAACTAGTGGTTTGGAGACAGTGTCTCTCTGTAGCAGCTCTTTCTGATCTGACAGGAGCTAAAAATAACCA